CATTCCTGTCCATAACACTAAGCAAACATCAGCAAAGTCTCAGTGGCTGTTACCAGCCTTCGCTTTAGCTCAGAGTGACCTTTCTTGCTGCCTTAAACCAATATATAGGATGTGGAGAATTACAGTCTTCCATCTCTGTGGAGGATAGTGCCTGTGTTGTCCCTCAGGCCCCAAGCCAAGTGATGTGCAAGGGGTGGTAATATCCGGCAGAGCAGAAGGATGCACAGTTGCTGTTGAAAGCGATTTCTGTCACCAAAGTGCCATTCTATAGAACTTGTCTGACAGAGCCTTTGATATAAGGGATGGTTCAATGGTCAGCAAAGTAAGTCTAGCTTCCAGTGCACCTCGTGTGGTTCTTCATCACAAGAAATTATTCAAACTTGCTGGAACACGGGCTTTGCAGTCAAAAACAGCCTTTAGATTTACAGGTAGGTATCTACAGTGGAGGAAAATAGTTTACAGGGAAACAGGTTGCTTTCAGCAAATCAACTCTTCATGAAAACAAGAAAAAAATCACTTAACTGTTGAAGGAAAACTCCTTTACAGCAGCCTTTTGCAATAAAATTGGATATGCAGGTGTCCTTATCAGGGTTGGCTCTGCTACATTTTTCAAGATGTTATCAAAAACTTTGCAAATGCAAAAGGACCAGGACAGCTGAAAAATTAAAATAATTTTCCATTTCTATAACTTGCCCGTTTTGAGCAAGTGGGCAAGTGAATTTAGCATTTTCAAAGTACTTTAAAGTTAAACGTCTTGTTATTGACATCATTATTTTTGTGCACCTGCTGTTATTAAATCTTTTGTAATTAAGAAACAGAGCAAAGCATTCTATGTTAGGAATTGTAAACTCACGACAGTAATTTGGTATTATATTATAAAGGGTGTTATAACATATATCATCAGATAGACGAAAGAGTAGACTAACAATTGTTAATGTTCACTGTGAACACAGGCAAGACTGGTGGACTCAAATTCAATATCAGTAGTTATTAATGTATTTAAGTTACTATATATTAACTGGAAAACCTGCTGTTGGAAGAAATGGTGGGTCATATTCTTTTTAAATGGAAGAGGTGATATCTGAGGGGAAACAGGTGAGACATGATTGCAATCACATGTCACTACCGCTGAAATTATAATGAGTCCTTGTGAACTGTATATTGTAAAGGGAGCAGTTTTTTGCGTTCCTACTTGTTTGGATCTGTAGGTGTTCAGAACACCCCGGAGGCCTTGTAAAATAGACACTGATTTTCACCAGCGAAAAATCTTACCGGTTCCTTACCAACAAAATCTCCAGAAGCACAAAATGCCTGTTTCAACCCGTGAGAGAAGAATCTGAGTCCTATTGTAATCACCAGTTTCTCATATGGTTTCATATCTGCTGGGACATGGATTTTGCAGTCTGCTCAGAGAATGAACCCACTTGCACAGAAGACTTCCATGAGCTATTTTTGCTACTGCACATTGCTCACAGTTGCACAACTCGATGTCACTTAAATTATGACCTCTAGCTAAGATTTAATTAAATTTGTTGGCAACACCTCAAGCAAGCCATGTGAAAGGTGTGAACAGTTAACATTATTCTTTATGCTACAATGGCACTGCCACATGCCAGCACTTCCGAAACATGCTGAAGATGCGCTGTGTGTCCCACAGAATGAACTTTAAGCCTGGCTTCCTACCTACAGGAATGCAGGTTTTGGTGTTGTTGCTCAGAGCATAGCCAGCAGCACAGGAACATACAACTCCTTCATCTCCAGTTTTCAGAACTGCTCACAGTTCCCGTTGTTGACCTTCCACGTGTTTGGTATGACTCTAAAGGAGACAAATGTATAGGCAGGTTACAAATTCACGGTGATTTCATAAAAGCTCAAGCAGCTCATAAAAACTCGTTCATAAATGTTAGCCAAATACCCCATCATTTGGGGAAATTCTGTGCAATTCCTTTCAAAAACCTGTGCAATAACAGCAGTTCTAACTATCATTATTTAAAAAATGGTAAGCTGTCAACATCAGGTAGACCACTATTATTTTACATCTTATGCTGTATTTCCCAGCTATAACAGGCAGCTGTTTGAGGGCAAAGCAAGCAATGATCCGTACTGCCCATAACAGCCATCGTACTAAGCCAAAGATGAACATGGGTGTGGATAAGAGGCTAAAATTAGAACCACCAAAGTATCAGTAATAAATTAAGTATTTGACTCTTGGGAGACTCTTGCAATAAACCTTTTCCATCTGTATATGGCTCATACTACTCACCGTAGCTCAGTGCCTGGCACTGCAAGGTCACAGGCAGAATGGGAGACTTCTTCCCAGCTCTAACAGCGTGAGAGCAAGGAGAGGTGAACCAGTCCTCGCAGATGCGGTCTAACCTGTTCCTACAGATTCACCGTGAGATTCCACAGCTCACCTACAAAACTTAATCCTCTCTTTAACAAGCCTTGTGATGTCTAAAATATGTTTCCTAATATCTAACCTGATCATCCATGAGAGTCATAGGATCCCATTACTTCTTGTCCTAGCTATTCATCCTTGTGACAATGGAGAAGATTTCTTGCTTTTTTTACATACTTTACACATTTCCTTGGTTGCGTGTTGTGAGGCTGAAGGTCAAAACTTGTTTTTGTGTTTACTGAATTGCCTCCTATTAATGTTGGACCACTGTTCCAGTTTCACAAGGTTGTCTTGAACTCTCATCTCGACTTACAATAGTCTTTCCACTCTGGAAGGACCTACAAATGCAGTGCATAAACACTCTTTGATCCTACCTGTCACTGTGGAAAAGACCAAGTATCGGAGATTCTTGGGCTTACCTATGTGGAGCCCTGCACTCCATAGAATCTATCAACCAATTATCACAGTTTCTCAGCCAGATGTGCACCAGACTTACAGTGGTTTCATCTAGACCAGTGTTTTTCTTTCTGTCACAATGAAATTGTTATATAAAATGACGTTAGGAGCCTCCCTTTAATGGAGAGATCTGTCAGGTACTGCATCTTTTGCAGCCACCCTGCCTGTTATCCTGACCTTGCAGGACACCAATGTGTTCTCTTTCTGACTAGCACAACTCAGCAGTTTCTTTCCTCCTTGTTGGACACAAGTAATCTGATGCTTTAAGGGATAAAGATTTTCTTCTCCATTGGGAACAAACTAACCTGCCTGGTCTCTCTTCCAACATCCATATACTTAGATCAGCTCTTGATTTTCACATTGTGTTTATCTTATTGTCTTTCCTACTTAGCTTTTCTATTTTTATGCCAGGATATTTGCAATTCTTTTATACAATTCTAGGATTTTCTATACTTCCTTTTTTGGAGGTCAGGTCATGAAGAAGCTCAAGATTTTGAATAATCCTTCTATTTTTTTCTTATCTTTGAATAGTTTTGACATGTGCCTTAAACACTTTCAGGTTTTGTGGAGTTTTTAGAAGTAGTCTGATCTTTCTCTCTTTAAAAATATGTATTTATTTTGTTCTCTTGTTCTTTTTATTTACTTCCTTCATGAGGTCTGTCATTTTACTGTTACTTTCATTAAAGTCATATTCTACCTTTGTATTGTCAACCACTTCTAGTCTGTTGGTTAAATTGAAATGTAGACAAGCAAACTCTTGTTTGTACTTGTTTGTACGATAAAATTTTCCTTGAAACCTCCCGAAGATTCCCAGGGCATTCCGTGTCCCACTAAGCACCTTTTCCACCTCATCTCTTGTGTATGACTCATGTGTTTGTTCAGTTGTCTCCAGCCAGCCCTCTGTAATCACCAGATGATTTTTACGGCAAAATTAAACCAGGCATGCATCTTGTCTGCAGCATGATTCACATCCACACTCTCTGGAGAAGCATCTCAAGGTGCAACTTCAAAGATGAGCGGGACACTTCCTCAAGCAGAGGTGTGATGTTTGTGTTGAGACTTAGACATACACAGTGTGTGATGCTGTAGGGCTCTGGTTCCCCTCTACTCTGTTAAACCTTGTGGTGTTATTTTTTTCACCCGACAAGCTTGTGAATGGGTAGTAAGGATTATTTAATTATCACATTGCTTGAGAACACGAAGAATAGCACATCGTTCATGCTGTCGGTTTGAAAGCCCTGGATATTATTGCGTTGCAGGAGACAGATGGGAGCAAGTGGGGATGAGAAAGCGAAGCTACCAGGTTTTCATTCATGTCACCCTGATCCACAAAGCAAAATAATGGCAAATAATTACTTGTGTGGTTTAGGCAAAGCAGCCCAAAGCCAAATTAAAGCAAAGGCTGTACTTGTCTGCACCATCTGAAGGAACAGGAGGACAGCTGTAAGAAGCCACACTACCCCACGGCGACCCACCACCGCCATCCTCCAAGCTCGCTGTGCGTCTCCCACTGTTTTCTCTGCAGGGCTCTGGGGCAGCTGCTAAATGAGAAACACTGCAGTGCAAAGGTCATTAACTCATGAGAAAACAAAACCTGTAACAGCAGTGCCTGGACTCCATGTCAGCATGGGACAATGTTAAAAGAGAAAAAAAGCCAGGACCCTGGGAGCCTGTAGGTACCTCGTGTCAGCAAAGCCCCTCTCTCCTGCATGGGCGGTGTGGAGCTGGGTTTGCCACCGAGGCTGTGACACCTGTGTGTTTCAGAATCCTCAGGGAGAGGGGTGTCCGTAAACCAGGGCAGGTTCTGCCTCAGTAGGATAACATGCGGTAGTGTGGTTAAACTTCACTATGCTACAGAAACTCCAGATACCAGACTGACACTTGGTGATTTCCTCTTTAGGACCATGGTCTACACCTATTCCATTTCTCCCTGTCCACTGTGGGTGGTTCTATGTCTTCAGGAAATATGGACAAAGCCTCCCTAAAGGATCTTTGCTAGACGGAAAGCAAGGAGCTAGAGAAAGTGATCTGGCTGTTGCCCATGTCCCGGGGGCATAGAACAACCAGAGCCAGGTTTTGTGCCTCCCACAAGCTGGGCAGAAGCAGGAAAGTTCCTCAGAAGTGAGGAGTAGCTCAGGGCACCAAATCTGGAGAATTCAGTTAGCGTGTTGCAAAGATGCTGCCTCCCAGCTCTGGTAGTGCCTTAGGAAGCAAGTAAAGCATGGAGCTAAACAGAACAAGAGAAAACGAGAAGGAAATTTCAGGTTTTTTTCTGGCTTAGGCCAATAAGGTATTTCACAAGGCTTTGGTCTCTTTTATTGCAAACCACTGTAGTTGGAAGTGCCTTAGGTAAGGTGAAATTAGGTAAGGTGAAATTAGGTAAGGTGAACACACTCTCTGTCACAAGCATCAGGCAAGACCATACTTGGATAAATTCATCAATTTCCATCGTATTCTGGATGGATTTTTTTCTTTGGCTCACACCACTCCATGAGTACAGCTGTTGACAGAGCCTTGTAGTCTGCAGCCCTGCCTATTGAAGTCAACCCTGGCAGGTGAGTCAGGGAGCAATATCAGGGAGCAGTAAAGAGGAAGGAAAATCTTGCTTGCTATTACTGTGCTATCGCAGGTCACAAATGCATGACCGTAACAGTGACCCTCGCTCACCTGGAAACACAGAAAACAGGGGCTGGCAAGACCTCCAGGATCACCCAGCCCAGCTAATTGAGTCAACAAGGGACAAAGTGTACCTCTATTATTCTTGGCATGTTGGCCAAGGCTGTAATGAAGGAGTCTTCCTGGAAATTGCTGCAAGTGGGACATTGCACTTGCAAAAGTCTGTTTTCCTGCCATGCTGTAGGTCACCATAACAAAGGGCAGCTTGTCCATAGTCATTCCCTAGGAAGCCTCCATCCTGCTGCGCACCTGATGGTTACCTACCTCTCCTGCTCTGAAAGATTACCAGCATCAGAGGCTTCACTGCCCTCCAGACAAAATTGACTAGAGGGCTTTTCTAGTCACATTATTGGAAGGTTTTCCCTGGTATTCGCTTGAAACTTTCTCGCTGCAATTAAGATGTGCTATGTCTTTTTATCTTCATCACAAAGATGATCCAGTTAGTTCCTACATCTCTGCAGCAGCCTTTTGCACACACGAAGGCTACTTCTATGTTTCTCCTCAGGCTTTCTCTATTTTAGTCTAAAGAAGCCTCATTTTTTCAAAACCCAATGCCTCATGCACAAGACTCTCTTATCCAGATATATCATCTTGGACCAGGCCTGAGCAATGTCCTACCTTTTTCTTCTTCATATCAGTCCTTTTCAAAGCCTCAGAGTGATTGCACTCTTTACTTACCATCCTTCTTTTTTCCCTTTCTTCTCAGGACTGGCTTTTCATTGAAGCCTGAGTATTAGAGGGTAGCTTAGAGCATCTCCTTCCACCATCTTTGGTAAATGCCAGCTCTTACCTAAACCAGCAGTGTTTGCTTGCTGTGAGAAGTTCTGGTATTTTAAAATCCACCAGCCTACTCAGCAGCTGTGTGCTGTAATCTTTCCTGGATTTTACAGTGTGTTCAAATTTTGCTACTTAAAATTACACTAAATAATTGATTTACATTAAAAAGTGTGCTTTAATTCTTTCTTTCCTTGCAGGCCCTAGAGTTGAATACGGGCTTCGGTAGGAGGCCAAGATGCAAGCAGGTGTGTCACTGGCGTCCTCTCAGCATGGCAGAGACACTGTTACGGAGTGAGGAATGAATATGTAGCCCTTGAGCCTTGGGCATTAGAGGCACTATGGCACAGGATGAAAGGCTGTTGAAATAAGTTTCATTTGCAAAAGACAAATAAACTCTGATTGTGAAGCCCAAGGACAGTGTCTCTCATAATTTGCAGAACAATGACACTTTTCTTTAAGCACAGTCATGTTGCATACAAATACAAACTTCCATCACCCCCTTGCATGTTCATGTATTAAACCAGCTCTGTGCCTGCTCCGAAGGTGTTACTTGGCTTCATGAGAACAGATATACCCCAGCTTGTAAAACCTAGTTACTGCCACCATTGCCAGAGGGAGGTCCTGTCCTGAGCTATCTCAACACCTTATATAGTCCAGTCTGAGTTTCACTTCACTCCTCAAGCTTCACTGAAGTAGAAGAATACCCTTAGTATGGGTATGTAAATATAATCTGGGTAGCATCTAGGCCTGAGGTTGTCCCTTTGAAGAGAGATGTCTCACCCTGATGGAGCACAGGGCAGGCGACCAGTGTGACCAGAGATTTGAACCAGAATCCAGTGGACAGAAGAACTCAGGGAACAAACATTGCTGAACAAACATTGCAGTAAGTCTTTTGAAGGTTTATACAAGTGGAGACCATCAAGCTGGGGTAACTGACCTGCAGTCCTTCCTGCCCACATCTGCTGCTGACTGCAGCAATACCTCACGGCTATGCAGACTTGTATTTCCAGTTTGCCAACCTGGTTTGCTCACAGCACCTGCTATGCAAAACTAGCCAGCACCAGCTCAGTCCCTAAGAGAGAAGCAGCAGCTGTCTGGTGAAGTTCAGTGTACCTTAGACAACCACGGGGGCATAACAGATCGGAAAGGCCATCAGGATTGCTAAGGGCACAGGGCACACAATGGAGAGCAGCAAGCTGAGGGGTCTAGGCTTGTTCTGCCAGGGAGAGCTGGGGAATCTAACTGCAGTCTTCCATGGCCTGAACGGGGAATAAAGTGAAGACCAGGCAACCCATTTCCCAGAGGTGCCCATAGAGAAAAGATCAGGCAGAGGTCACAGGTTGCAACAAGGAAAATTCAATTTGGACATGAGTAGTTTTAGCCATGAGAGTGCTAAAGTGCAGAAACAGGTTGCCCAGAGGGTAACAAAATCTCTAAAGTTTTTCAAAACTTGACTGGGCCAGACCCTGCACAACCTGTTCTAACTTTGATGTTAGCCCTGTTTTGAGCGTGAGGTTGGACCAGACCACTTTCATCTGTCTCTTCCACTTAAAATCTTTCCATTATTTCCATAACCAGATCTGAAGCTGACAAGGTTTCAAGAATAATATATGGAGGAACACTACTCCACATACTAAAAACCATCAGGGTGTAGAGCTCCTGCCTGAAAACCTTACAGCACAGATCAAATCACAGTACCAAATCAGCAGTTAGGTTTGCCTTTGTCTAAGAAAATTGGTATCTAACTTGGCATTTAAAAACCTCGCGGCCAGCGAAAGTCTTTTCATTACTCCTCTCCATTCTCTACCTACCTCCTCATCAGCCTTGACATAAATCAGGAGAAAAATGTCACAAGTATTTGTTTAGGGACATTCACTCTTTTCTCACTCTCAAATGAGATGTTGTCTTTATACATTTGTAAGCTGACTGGTTGGAATAAATAAATAAATAAATACACACATAGATAAAGAACAAAAAAAGAAAGAACATTTTATTTCAAATGCTTGTGTACATCAACATTGCACCTTACAGAACGACCTTTCCGATCCCCAGCCATACACAGTCCAGAACATGATATAGAAAACAGTGAGCATGCACTTCTTTTTAATCAGATGAACATAAGTGTTCAAATTAAACTATAGTGAAATACAATCCATATAAAGCACCCCCCCATTTTAATTAGCTGCTGTGACCTAAGCAGACACTTCAGTGGAGCAGGTGGTGATTCAGCATTGCATGTAGAATACTTACTTGTGTCTCAGTTTTTACCAAGAAAGCTTCCTCGCTGCCTTAATCTGCTGAATACATCTGCAGGTAGAAGTTAAAAAGCTCTAGCAATAACAAACTCCCCACTGAGCCAGCTGGCTGCAATATAAGGATTAACTGAAGTCCTGCCCTTACCATTTTTGTCATGATTAGTGGAGGCTCATATTATGTGCAGGAGCCTCTGTTGGAAGCACTTGAGCAAACAGACAGAAATCAAAAAGGCAATATAAAAATTAGCAAACCAACCAGTCGTTTTCTTTGGGGAAAGCCCCTCATTGTACAAATTCAAAACAACATCAGCAGTCCACATACACATGCTTAAAGCCAGGAGTAAAACAATAAGAAGCAGCACCGTAACTTTAAGGAATCAGGTCTCAAAACAAGTTTAGCAGATGGGGCTACAAAAAATAAAAAAGGAAGAATAAAGTGAATAAAGTTTCCATTACAGAAATTGCGCCTTGTTAGCTAACAGAGGGATCGAGAGCCACACCACTACGAGTTGCGTCTCATGGCCCATCTCACCCAGCGTAAGAACCTTGACAGTTTGGTATAGATTCCGTACTTGCCCTTCTTTGCACATCCCTCTCCCCAGCTAACAATTCCAGTAACAAAATAAGTCTCCTTATACCTGGTTACATGGGGACCGCCACTGTCTCCTTGACAAGCATCTTTTTGCTCTGTTTCATAACCAGCACAGAACATGTTTTCTGTTATTGCAAAGTTAGTGGATTGCTTGCAAGTGTTCCTATCGACGTAGGGGACTTCAAGCACTTTGAGTTTTTTGGATAGTCGTCCACCTTCAAATTCACGCCCAAAGCCACTAACCATTCCAGACCTTTGGTTCATCAGAACGTCATTAGCAAAATCTACTTCAGGAAGGCAGGCTGCGATAATGTACTCAGAAAATGTTATAGGTTCCTTCAGCTTTATTAAGGCTATGTCATTATCATAAGTCTCAGCAATGTATTTCGAGTGAACAAGTAGTTTATCCACGGTATGCATTGTTTCAGACTGTTCTTTCTTTTCTCTGTCCACTTCACCTGCACAAGATTATTAAAAGGGTCATTAATATGGAGACAGTATAAGAAAGTAAGAACAACTTAATAAAGGAGCACAGTAGTATACTCATTCCTAAAACTTTGCCTAAGTCTTTACACCATACAAGTAAACTGTAAAAATTTACTGCAATATCTATTAGCAGCACCTGAATCAGTTTCCATTTCTAGATTTGGTCTATGGAGATTTTTCTACCAGTTTTATACAAAGGCACAAATCAATTGAGTTAAACTAATTCAGCTTTGGGTGGAAGCTCTTCTTGAGCCTGCCCTAAGGAAACTCTTTAAGGAAAGAGGAAGTGGTCTGGCTCAAGACTAAAACAGTGCAAATATAAAGTTGTGTCGATCTAGTATCATGAAATATCAGAAGTGAAGCAGTCATAATGTGAGTTTGTTTCTTCTTCTTCTAGTCAATGTGTCACAGCTTTCCTGAGTGCTCCTGCAGAAACAAGTCTGTATGCTTCAGATGTGTGAGGAATGATGAGCTTTCTGAAGCAGCATCACCCTGAGGAACACAATGCAGCCAACACTTTTAGGACCTTTATTCATAACCCCTTCCAACTAGCTGGCAAAGAAGAAAGGGATGCACCATTATCACCTTCCACGTCAGCTGCCCCTGTTTTTACAAAGTAGGATTCTCACAATAACAAGAAATTATAAAAAGCAAAACAACAAAGTAACAAACCATAACAAATAAAGAATATGAGTACACCTCACAAGAGATTTAGAGCACAGAGGATCAATCTGCAACAAGTGCTCAAACGTCATGGGAGCAGAATAAATTACTACTTACCAACAACAACTTTGATTTCTTTTGATTGATTCATACAATGAGCTGCAGTAAGTATAAAATTTTCATTCAAAATAGTTCCACCGCAAAACTCTTCCCCTTCCTCATTCAACAGAACAGCCTGCAAAAGAAAAAAGGTAAGTGCAAGAGTTAAAAAGAGCAGTTTAACTTCAATGGGCTATAAATAGGTAGTAGATTTGTCTGCACACTACATACATGCTTATTGCTACAACAGGTACTACTCTGCAGGTGTCTCCTAATACTGCATACGCTACAGATTGGTATGCATTGCTATGTAGTCTCAACTGTCTTTACGTGACGTAGATGTTTGGCTTTCACCTCACCTCACTCACAGCACTTAGTAATGTCTTTCAGGAACAAGACACAGACTGAGCAGAGAGAGTGCAGCCTCCAAATCACCTGATCCCTTGGACTTATGACTCCAAAAACTTCCTGTCCAAGTTCTGATCCCATTTGACCGCTCCCTCCCCACTTTGTGTCTTGAACACAGGAACTCATTTTGGCTGGTCCAAACTCAAGAGGAAAACTTAGATATGAAAGTGTATTACTGAAACAAATGCACGCCTTATCTGCCACACTTTTAGGTATACTGATAAGGACTGCTATTGAACAGAACTGGAATATAACCTGCAGAAATGACACAGGTAGGCCAGCAGGACTCAAAAGCCCAACCTGGTGACAGGTTAAGCATCACCATCTAAAATTGCACAGAGCCTTTCACTTTGACATTTTAAGCAACATTCAGAAGATAACCAGGTTAAGCGAAAAATCATGCGCTTTCCCTCAGAAGCACGTTCTGCTTACACGCAGAGCACAGCTTTACCTGCCACGGACATTCACCAAGATGACACTCGTCACCACCTACTATCCTGGTATCAACGTACGAGTTGCTATTTGTTTCCTTGCCAGGACGGAGGGTTGGACTTTCTGTGGTAGTAACAATGTCCTCCTCCAAAGCTGTTGTGTACGTAGGGGGGTCATCTTCACCACTAGTTACATTGCTATTATCAGCAGGTAAAATAATTGACCTTTTTTTTCTTCTCACAAGAACTCTTCCACAAGGATACTTTACTGTAAAGACAAGAATTTTAAAATTAGAGGCGGACAGAAATACCAGCAAAAGAGGAAACTCTTTGACAACATCATCTCAAAATAAAACAGTTAATGCAGATGGCAGCTGTCCCCTTCTGGAAACACTAGCAAAACACTGGCAGATGCAATGAAGGAGGAAGACCAGATGGTTTGAAAAGTTAAAGCCATTTTGTAGTCCTAAAAGCTGTCCATAGGTTTAGTCTCTGGACAGTGCTGCAAAAATTTTTTGAAATTTAAAACATTCTCAGTTGTTTACATTGCTATATTAATGTACTTGCTCTACTAAAACCATCCTGATCAGGAAACTGAGTGAAGTGTTTTACTTGAGAAACAATACGGCTTATGACAGCAATTTATAAAGGGTATAAAACCAGACATCATGAGTTATCCTTCCCCCCCAGTTTGTTCAAATACGACAAAAATATAAAAATGTAAATAGCATTAATCATAATTATTTAGTGTCATCAGTTACTATTTGATTAGGTTAATTGAAATCTAAAGTAGAAAAGTCTTTGTGAGCTGCTATTTTATAGGGTGTATAAATGTGATAACTGCAATCTCTTTTCTCCTGTCAACAGTGGAAATTGCTCAGGTAATTTTGTGAGAAGCACCTTGCAAGTGATTCCAAATCAGGTAGATTTTTGGTAAGTCCATGGCGTCACTTCCAAAATGGAAAGCTTTGGAAATACAAACCAGTTGGTCTTCATGATAAATCTATGTCGTGTATAATACTTCAAAAGACATTCTTTAACTGTGAAACAAGTCTCACCACCATTGCTACTAGTTTATTATGTGGCTTCATACCTGATGAAACACAGCGTTTGCCATCCTCTGCTAGAACATATCCTTTTGCACAGGAACACAAAACATCCTTCCGCCCAGTTGCTTTGATGCTGCAGAACTGATCACAGTCACCATTGTTTATTTTGCAGTACTTTGGTATGACTATAAAAGAAGTAGGTTTGGAGAAGAAAGTAAATAAACGCCGACATCACGGAAGATTTCAAAGTTCACCAAACCAAACTGCACTCTTTAAACAGGATCTGCATCGCCACCCGTAAAACACCTGAAGCACATCTTAATAACATGAGTTGGTGATATTACTTTATACCTTACAAAGCAGTGACATCCACAGCACAGAACTTACTTCTTAAGTCTGTGTAGGCGCAGTGACTGTGTCATGGTGAGCTTAAAAAAGCAGGGACAAAACGACAGTGGAAGAATGAATAAAACTCTACAGAGAAGTCCAGATACTGGCAAATCCTCACATGATTACTCCCTCCTGCCCTAAAAACCTCAACTCCTCATTACTCCCCTCAGTCCTGTATCTAAAGCTCAGTTCCACACTCTCCTCTCTTACTTCTGGGCTACTGATACATGCTCCAGTGTCATCATTAGGGCAGTAGCTGTAAGCCACAGAAGCGAGACTCAGGAAGGATTTATACACCAAAAAAAAATATTCCTTGCAAAGCTGAAGAAGCCTCTGCATTGTCTACCAAAATCTGTTTTTTCTTGGTTCTTCACTGCTGTGAGCTGATCATGGAGGCTGTACTTCTGAGCTTGGAATAGTGGCTCTTTGATATCAGTTATAAGAATCCTACGCTTCTTGGTTTTATCATCACATTTTGGGTGTTCAAGTTCATGTAAAGAGGCTAATATAATTATAATATATATAA